CTCCAGAGGGTTCAGCTTTTATAATGAGGATTGAACAGTCACACTAAAGGACCTCTGTATGTACACTGTTAGACAATTTATTGTATTTTTGAGGTAACTTACTGGCAGCACCATTGCGGCACCGCAACTGCATCTTTAAAGTAACTTACCTGTAAACGTGTTTTACAGTAGCAGAGCCCTACCACAATTTAATTTTACAGTAAAATAGCCTTGAAATAAATTATTTTTATGGTAAAATGCACTTTACCACAATTTTAATTTTACAGCATGACTATTTTCACAGTACTCTAATTTTATTTACATTTTACACCAGCAGTACAGAATTTAAATTTTCAGTATTTACTATTGAATTTATTCAATTCTAAACAAGTGACAAGGTCATGTACAGCACTATTTTTATTATTCATTGTTATAATATCCATTTTAAATGGTTAACACAAGTAATTTTCATTCATCAATCTGTTTTAAATACATTTTGTGATACGATATGTTAATTAATTTTCATTTTTGTCTTCAACTACAGCAGTACTTGATTACTTTGAATACAGTAGACTACCGTAAATTCCTAATATGCAGTAAGTTACTGTAAAAGTTTTTTTAAAAATTCCAAAACAGTGTATTTTACAATAGTAAACTGTTTTAATGTACAGTATGTGGCATTTTACTGGGTGTTTTGCAGTAAATAACTGTAAAATAGCGGCAAAGTCTAACAGTGAAATATTATGTGATCGTGCAGCAAAAAAAATTAATTAATTTAAAAATAATCATTAATTAGCTATAATAATTAATTTAAAACAAAAATACCCATAAAACATCCATTAAAGAGGGTTAAACATTGGTTAGATTATTATTTATCATCATTACACCAATCAAACCCATTCTAAAGCTATTAAAGACTTTGAGCTACAAAGTGAGCTGTTCTTCAGTCAGTACAGGAAGCTGTATGTTATTAAAGTAACATGAAGCAAAGATCCCTGGTGTAAAATTTATTTTCGTTTCAAGTGTTCTAGCCTAAACATATGAGGTAGAAGTGCACTTTGCACCCTTCATCCGTCCTCTTTTTTTTCTCTCCCTCTCCTCTCTCTCTGTGACGATAACAGACTCTCCTGGGATCCTCCGACCTCTCCTCCCTTGGTGTGGCCTGAACTCTGACACATAACATTCTTGAACTTCTCTCAATCTATCCCTCAGCAAGGCTATCTAACCATCAGTGTGAGGCAAGGGAAAACTCCACGACCCTCACAGCTGTGACAACACACGCCTTCGTGGGGCCAACACCAGAAAACACCCTGCTGCAGTGGTTGGAAGTGTGGATATATATGTGTGTGTTTAATCTCTGACTTCTTGTGTCACACAATCCCCCAACACACACACATACATACACTGCATTTTCTACTGGAAAAACAGATATAGGTCTCTAAGTGTTTTAAAGATCGGTGAGCAAAGGTAAATGGTCAACAAAAAAGAAAGAATTACAATTTTAGACCCAATAATGAGCATTATTTCGCAGCTCTCTGGAATAATTGATTCTGATTGGTCATGCGTGACATTCCAAGGTTTGTTATTCTGTGATAACAATGACCTAGATGTACTTTTCCCATTGGTGATAACATGGAGAATGAATTTAATGTATTTAGTGATATTATTATTATTGTATATTCATTCATACGTTAAAGTCTCTTTATTATTTAGAGGTTGCACATGCTTTGTGCAGCGGATGCCCTTCCAGCCGCAACCTAACACTGGAAAACACCAATACATACTGTTTTACACACACACACATACACACTATGGCCAATTTTAGCGTATTCAATTCCCATACTGCATGTCTTAGGACGGTGGGGGAAACCCACGCAAACACAGTGAGAACATGCAAGCTGAGGCTTGAATCAGTTAGCTTAATGTGAGGCGATCATGCAACTCACTGTGCCACTGTGACGCCTTATTGTATATTATTATAATATAATAATATATTATTATTATTATTATTATTTTGTCAGGATCGAGTCTCCACAGCGGAATAAACCGCCAACTATGCATATGCAGCGGATATCCTAGTAGCCACTAGTTCTGGGAAACACCCATACACTAACATTAACATTCATACGTTCATTTTTGTCTGGAACTCTGGGATAATTGATTCTGATTGGTCACTCGTGACATTCCAAGGTATGTTATTCTTTGATAACCATGACCTGGATGTACTTTATCTCTTGGTGATAACAGGAATGAATATAGATGTATTCAGTGCTATTTTTTACAAACATATTTCCATTTGATATTGTTAATGTGCAGTCATAGATGATGCAGCTTGAAGAATAGGTGCTATATTTTTTAAGCAACTTAACATAAATATTGCTTAATCGAAGGCTATTATGTGACTTCATTCCAGGCTTCAAACACTTTGTACCACACATACATTTGCAAAAATAATAATTAAAAAAAATTAAAAAGAATCTTGATACTGTGCACAGTGCATTATACAATACAAATATGGATGCATAAGCAGTTATGGCCATAGGCTTACATTAGTAAATTCGCACAATTTTGAACCACTGAATTAAATAATGCTCTATTTTATTATTTCAGTTTGTAAAACATTAGTTGGTATCACGATAGCCTTCTTACAGATACACATAAGTTTTAAATAATGGTTAATAGTCTATCTCTGGCTCTATGTCGCAGAAATGTCGAAGCATTCGTAAAACGGATTTAAAGAATCATCTGAATCGATTCGCGATTCAGACAACAATTCGAGCAACTCGCTCACAAGCTGAATCGTTACAGTGTATTTTACATTTATTGGAGCGGTAACTGCTGAATTGCGCCGAATTAAATGGACATTAACTTAAAGCCATCCAGACGAAAAGATGCCAATGACGTCTTTCTTTGTGAACCACTACAGGTAAAACAAAACACAGTACACGGAAAACGTGTAAACAAAGTCTTAACACCACGATGCATTTTAGATGTTCAACTGACTGATGTAAATTTGTTTATTATTCGCACATTTAGACTTTTTCCTTAATAATATAACTTCAGAAAAGTATTCTTTGATACTAAATAGTAAAATCATATTAGCATCCAATGTATAGCTATCAAAGTACAACATTGTTCACAGTTAATTAAATGGTGCTAATGTTGTTTTACTTGCATGCGATTTCCGACCCAACATTCAAAGTGGAGGTAAACAATATAGGGAGCATGTCACAAGCTGTCGCTGTTCAAAAATGAACGAATGTGCAAATATAAAACCAACCTTACCTCAGTGTTAAACTACATTTGGAGTGCTATTTAGGCTTTTCAAATGAAAGGTTATTTTGAGAAAATGTCCTCGTTTTCTAGTCAGATAAGCAATGGTGTATGGATTTTTTAGGTCCTAAACAAAGGTTGTTTCTAAGCCAGGTGTTTTTACCAAACTCATTTGTCCTTGGTTTGTTTTGTCAAGTTGTACAGTACTGTACGGTTATTGTAGTTCATTCTTGATTTGCAGAACATGTTTATCTCCATGCATTGAAGTAATGTGAATAGATTTTTGTGAATTCCTGTGATTTTTTTTTTTTTTAGAGGAGATTGTTTGACAAGGCCTACAATACACTATCAAAGATATGATAATGTGAACTGGCTGCAGGCAGGAAAATGTCAGTACAAGAATGATAAGTTTTCTTCATGCATGTCTAACAACTGACCTTTTTAACAATATTTTCTAAATATTGGTAAAATATTTTACAGTTTAGGTTTTGAGATGTCTTAAAACAGCATAGAGACACATTTGGTCTGGATTGGGGCCTGGTTTACATTCAGACAAGACCGCAGCCTGACTCCCAGCATAGTGAAGGTGATAATTACTTTAACCACAAGTTTGCGTGGTGTCTTTTGATGACCCCACAGTATTTCCTCACTCCTTACCCTGTTTAATGTAACTTTATTGAAAGTGACAGTTACCAACTTTCTCTGTCTCACTATGCGTTAATGGTTTGTTGTCAGTTTTTGAAAAATTACAAAAATGTGATCCTTATAAACATTGTACAATGACTGTTACCACTTGTCTGTCCCAGCAGATGTCTCAGATTCATCTGTGTTAAATTTAAACAAAACAGGGGAAAATCTAACCAAAATAGACATTTTATCACATATCGCTATATAAACTTTTAAAATTAATTAATTATGTGCCATACCTTTTCAGTTTTGAATGGCATGAAACTAATTTTGTAGGGTTAAAATGCTTAAAACAAAACAAAAATTGGTTACAAATCTAATCTAATTGTTGTTTTTAATATATATATATATATATATATATATATATATATATATATATATATATATATATATATATATATAGCCTTTATAAATTAATACTGTATACTTACTAGTTTGTTGAAGCATGAATATAACCACCAAGAAGATTGTCAGCAATACATTTTTTTAACCTCTTACTGTAAATGTCACCCCACTTTTGAATTGAAACTAACCCTTTAAAATAAGTTCAGGTTCAGACAAAATATTTTTTATTAAATATTTACTGAAAAGCTTCTTATCTTTGTCACAGTGAAAGGTATGGGCTAAATTATATATTTCTTTTTATCATATTTGCAATATCATTAACTCGTTAACTGCTTGTGTTTTGGAGTGATTAGCTGCAGAAGTCAGAGGGCGTGAGACAGGAGTCAGTAACACATAAACGCTGACTTCTGATCTCTTAAACTGATTTGGGGCCATGAGCTCCACCCGAATCCCCTCACCATGATGTCATCACCTTCTCTTATGCAAACCAGCTGTTTGCTTAAATGGCCTTTAGATACCAGCCAACTTTTTACACGTTTGTACAGGAATGAGGGAGAGGCGGAGAGAGAACATATGTGTGCATTTCATATCAAACAAGAAACTCTTGAGTAAACAGCGCTTGCGGCCAAATAAGTGAGATATTGGATCGTATAGATCCAAGGCACACAAAGATGAGGTCTCTCGGGGATAAAGTAGAAATGAATAGTGAGCACTTATCAATTTATTTTCCAAAACTTTATTCCTATCACAAACATACATCAGTTTAACACAATGCTAGTACACTGATCCAAAATATGACAGAACACCGGAATGTTAAAATAAAGTATCATCACTGAAAAATAAAAGACAGGTTATTCATATGCAGATATGTTCATATTGAACATTTAAACATACAGTTTATTTTTTAATGGTTTATTTCAAGAGAAGCAATCACTCTAGCACCAAATTTTGACCTCAAATCATTTTGAGAGGCTTAAAGTGTTTAAAAAGATAGTCCACCCAAAGCTTTAATTCTGTAATCACTTACCCACTTTATACTTATCCAAAACTTTTTGAGTTTTTTTCTACTGATGACTCAAATTAAGATATTTTGAAGAATGTTGACTGGAGTATAGGCATTGGACTGTCCTTGGTCATAGTTCCTAACCTTATTTTACCAAGTGTTTATCCTGGAACAACATTCCAATCAGCCAATCAGAATTAAGGAATACCTTTACTGTTTATGTTTATGATTTGGTTGAGTTTATGCACTTCTACATGATTGTTATCCAACTATTATTGTCCTCTGATTTGGGGAATCATTTTCAGTTATGGTTGGGTTTAGGGGTAGGGAATAGGTATGGATTTACATTTTCGAACAAAAATTATGTTCCAGGACCACATCGTACTTGGCAAAATCATGACTTGCATCCATAGTTTAGTATAGCGGTCAGTGGGTGCACTATGAAAAGCTGGATTTTTTTAAACTCAAATCTGAGTAGAATATGGACAAACCCAACCAACTTTAAACCCAACAGTTCGGTATGTCCATTTATACCCATATTTTGATTGATACAACCCAACTTTTTTTTTTTTGGTGTGTGCTGTTAGCTTTTTGATTACCACCATTGTTTCACCATTGTTCAACAGAAGAAAAACAGCTTTAATGCGATTAAAAAATGACGAAATCTTCATTTTGGGGTGAAGTCCATCCATTAAAACAAAACATGGTTGGAAAATGCTATTTTTGTCTGCACGTTTCCCTTATTGTATTGGAGTGAATCTACTAAAACTTAAGGCGATGATTTCATGGCTGCACCCAATTACATAATTTTTTTTTGACTAAAGCATGATGTACAGTGTAGTAGCAAATGTAGATACAAAATAAACCACACCCACCCAAGAAACTTCTAATAATTAAGGCAGGTCATTCAAACAATGGAGTCAGTCATTCAACACTACATCTAAATGACTAGAATACAAATATTACAAAAAAAGAGCATAATACTGGTTTACAAAGTACGGTAAAGCTGTAACTCAATCCAGAAATGGCAGATAACATTTAGCTGTTACCCTGAGCGCTTATTGGCTTTGCAGCAATTTGTTGGATTTTTTTTTTTTACGTTAAGGGTTGTTCGCAGCAATGAAATGGAGTTGACGTTGACACTCAAACTGAATTTGTTTTTTATCCTCAGCTTAACTCCAGAAATCATTACTTTGTCATGCAGTGATATTAACAAAATTATACAAGACTATAAACTAGTCAAATCATACTGTACACAAACATATAGAACACGCCATACAGTCTAGCAACACACAAACAACCCATTGCAAACAAAAACACAACTCATGTCTATTGGATTCCGAATGTTTCTTTCTAGTGTGATGTGATGCGATTAACACCCAGCTGGAAGCTGTGGAGCACTGAGACAGAAGTTGGGATCCTCCCGACATTTTGTTCCAGCCTGGGTTGCTCTTATGAAAGCCAGCAATGACTCATGGGAAAGGTTCCCCACCCCATTATACTTAAGGGTTGCATCATGGGACTAATACCTTTTTTTTGCATCGAGTTTTGATAAAATTTCTATAATATCATGTATCATCACGGTCATAGCTGCTTGTTTACAGCTACATTTATAATTAGTCCAATCTCACAATAAAACGTAACTATTTTACGCCAGAAAAGTGGCTAATTCGTGGAACTTTATACGATTTCATTCTGTTTTAAAGGGAGGCTTGGCACCAAACCCTACCCCTCATTGGGGGATAAGCTTATGGTACTAAAATGTACGAATTAAATCATACAAATGAATACGAATTAACCACTAAATCCAGAAGCTATACTAGCTACCTAAAAATTGCATTTTTTATAAAGCATTACAACCTTTTCATAGATCATTAAAGCAGGTACGCTTAGGGAGCAGGTTATTGACCAATTATTTCATCCCATTTTCATCCTATATAGTTATATTCCATATTTTAGTCTTGCCTATCGTTTCGTATGACTTTAAGTGGAACATTTTGCAAAGTATTTACATTCATTGTGGGAATTTGAGTCTTTCTTAACCCTTGATGGCCAAGATCAGTATGCAGAAGATTGTTTTGGGTGTAAGGGGCAGGGAGTGAGTGTTTAACCCAGACCCTGGGTGGCAGAACAGCTCATTCACAGCTCAGTGTCTGCCGTCTTGGTTGTGGAGTGGCCATTGGTGGCGGCAGGAGGAGTCTGGGGCTTCACTGCCTCTTGCGACTCGCCGTTAAGACTGGGTTTCTCCTGGGGCTCAGGTTGGTTCAGTGGGGCCACCGATACAAGAGTATTGCCTTGGTTCTCCTCATCTGCCGTGTATGACTCTTCAGCCTGTGTAAACACAATGCAAACAGATTGTATTTTTAATTAAAATAGGTATTAGAATTGTTGATTTGTAAAGTTAAACTTTATTTGAGATTGTTTCATTGTCATGGATGCTTTCTTTTGGATTAGTAGCAATAGTCACTAATGAGACAATAGTTGACACATGACAAAAGTGCAGAGATGTGCTTCTGAATTAAACTGTGTAAACACAATTTGCATGGAATGATCACTTTTGTATAAAATTAATTTGACTAGAATAGCTCATATATTATTTGGTTTTGGAGGAATTTGAAGATGTTGACAGAATATTGTATCAATATTGAGTCTCCGAGTGCAGTTTTGTTCCATTATCTTGGGCATTTGATAAATAAATATAATACTAAACCCATCATTACATGTTGGTAAGCCCTTGTGTTACTGAAGAGAACTGAATCACTCGTTCAAATGATATGTTCAAAATATCTGACTCAGGAAGGAAGCAAGTGGCTGTCTTTCTATATGGATTGTTGAATCATTGACTTAAATAATTGGATCCAATAAGGATTGATACAGGAATGTAGATCTACATCGATACTTTGAGGTGCATTATCGTTCTTTGATAGTGTCAATCAATATGGGACATTTGTTCCAAACGTGTAGCAGTTTCTCTTCTACTGAACAAATTAAGAAAATGCTAATATAAGTCGATGAGTTCAACTGTTGTTTAGTTCCTAACACTCCTAACACTTTTTTTTTTTATAAAGATTTACAATGACAGGACAGTGGTATAGGTGTCTCATGTCATCATCATAATAATAAGTAAGGGTAAAATTTAAAATACATAAATTAATTAAAATAAAATAAAAAAGTCTTTCAAGATACATTCTCCAAAAACTCTCAAAGAGGATTCCAGAAATGCCAGAAATCATAAGATTTCTGATGCAAGTCATAAGTCAGTTTTTCAAGTGCAATGTGATTAATCCACATAATGATAAAAGGAATGTTAGGAGAGGACAACCACAAAAAACTACATTTTCTTGCAAGATATGTACAAAAGTGTAACACAGATTCTAGTCCATGACTAAGGTGTTTTACAATTCAGAAGATAAATAGCTGGAGATAGGGCAAAAGATTTACCAATAATCCTCTGAACTAATTTGTGAATTTCTTTCCAGTATGTCTTAATCATGTCACAGTCCCAGAATACATGCATCACAGTACCAACATTGGACTTGCACTTAAACAACACTGAGAAACATTAGGAAATATCTTATTCAGACAAACTGGCATTGAATAAGTTCTGTAAAAGAAATAAATGTTGCTCAGGGTTTGATATTGTGGCACCTTTGAAAAATATGTCTAGAATAAGTAGAGAGTGAGGATAAATGGTTGCAGATTTTACATTTTTAGGGTGACCTGGAGTGTATGTTCAACTGCTGAATAAAACCAATGCTCACACTAGGGTTGTAACAATATACCGGTATGACGGTTTACCACGATTTGAACGTGCACGATTATCATACCATGAACAATTGCATATCAACGGTTTTAACCCTTAAAGACCGAGACAGCCGCCCGTGGCTAAAAATAAATATTGCTCTTAAATGTTTAATAACTTTTGATTGATCCGCTGATCCGATTCATACAATTCAAAGATTGGCATAAAGAAGAGAATCTCAGCTTTCCAGTGCTGTATCACATAACATTCGCGGACTTTCTTTTTTTTTTTTTTTTTTTTTTACATTTGCGGACTTTCAGAGGCTCCGGAATCAGTGCGGTTACGTCATCAACATTTGACAACGCTGATTTGACAAAGAAACGCTCGTCACTGTGTCTCCGGACAAATCAGACATGATACATTGATGCATTATCCCTCCTCCATGCCCAGATTGGTTCAAACTCGCTATATCACAACCAATAAGCATAGGTTTCGCTTTTGTTTGTGGACCAAGCTTTTTGAACAACACGGAATGAGAGATAGGCATACATTTATGCGCGGCTAAATAAAACGCAAAAAAAAAAAAAAAAAGTTTTGCATGAAATAATTCTCATACTAAGTACTTTTGCATGCACAGCAGCACAGAAACATGACAAAACAGTGACACAGCAAAGACGAACTGCTGCTCTTGCTGTTTTCAAAAGACGCAAATAAAGATGCAGCTGTTTGTCTGCATTGCAGACAACCATATCCATAGACAACCATATCCTTGCTGGCACATAAAACCTAAGGATGTTCCATATTGAATCTAGTTTCGTTATGTAAATATTTATAGTATAGTAAATATTTATATCTATTTTTTACTGAGGATTTGCACCATGTTTATTTGGACTTTATTTGGACTTTGACACATTATTTATTATTTTCTTATTTTTATTTGTTCATTGTAAGTGGTGTTGTTTATAGTAACTAAAAATATATTATTTGGAAAAAGTCAAATTTGCTTCACTGTTCTATTATTTTGTAACATACCGTATACCGCGAAACCATCAAACCGTGGTATTGTTTTAGACGATTATCATACCGTGAAAAATTCATACCGTTACAACCCTAGCTCACACTCTGATATTTGGTGCTCTTACCTCTTTGAAATACCTTCTAAATAACAAAATTGCTTAGAAAACATAGAGCACAGTTTGCGGCACTGTTGAGATATTTGTAAATAAAAAAATAATAATGTGGATTTGTTCATTTAGAAAAAGAATATTATTGTTCTACACTGTAAAACCCAACAATCAACTTTATCAAATGAAATGGGTGTAGTTAACTCAAAATGTAAGTTCACAGTACTCATATAGATTAGTTTTCTTAACTCAAATAGTTTGTAGCAATCGATTTCTTCAAACGGTTTGAGTTGTCTTAACTTAATGGGTTTTACAGTACTCAGTTGGTTTGAGTTCTCTTCATTTATTGGGTTTTACTGTGCTCAAATTACCTTGTTTACTCAATTGGATTAGATTCACAGTAATCATTAGTTTTTTAACTTTTTGAAATGGTTTGTTGCAATCGGTTTCCTCAAATGTTTTGAGTTACCTTAACTTTTTGGGTTTTACAGTGTAAGTAACATGTCCTGTAGATTGTTGTAACCTAAATGTTTACAAAATTACTGTTTGTTACACATCATACTACATCAAACACTATGATGGCTGTTTTTTCAGTGAAAGCCAAGATTTGTGTTCTCAGTGAGCCCTTGTAACTTAGGAGTTAATAAGCAAGACTCTTACTAGGACTCTTACTATAGTGTGTTTGTTTCTGACTAGGGTCAGGGTTTTCTTTTGGAGCAGAATATGGAAACAATCATCAAATTTTTATTTGGAATACGTTTCTTGATATATCTTCAAAGCTTTTATTGAACAGTGTATGGCTTATGAAATTGCGCCTGTGAATGTACGTGTTTGTTTTTTTTCATTGCAAGCCCTTCTGGGGTCTGTCGAGAGTGCGCTTTGTTTCAATTTCATAACTTGAAACCATTTAACAGAGAAGGAAAACAGCTTCAAACTATTGGCAAGTGGATGAAACGGTTGGTGTTTAACTAGCATGTGTTGTGGTTCTCAACATTAGATGGGGCGTGTGCTGGAGGAACTGCACCGCACTGATACCCTGCCAATTGTTTTCCTCCTAATTATGATCTTGGCAACATTTCACTTCCAAATGCGCTGAACTTTGCAATTAGAATTTGTGGATAACACATTCAAAATGGGAGTTTGATTGGGAACTCTTGGTGGTGGAGATACAGTTGTTGAAGTCATCAATTTGGGGGTTTAATCAGAAGGAAAAAGCAGGAAGTGTATGAATGTAAAAATTTGGTTCAAGGATTTGCTTTGTGTTGAATTACAACATGTTTACATCCTGAAAAAAAGGATATTATTTTTTGAGTTCTGTGTCTGTTTCGGAGTTGGAACTCACCAGTTTCATGCCTTTACCGTTGGTTCGGCGATGACATTTGAAGTAGTAAATGCCAACTATTATACCAGCAAGCAGTAAGCCAGTCAATAGCACAGATACAAAAACAGCAGAAGATGAACCCCCGGAGGTGGTATCCTTGTCTGCTTTAGCTTTAGCCTGTAGAGAAAAATTACACCAACATTTTAACATAAATAGAGAGATATGGGGTTAGTTCCACTCAATGTTCAAATTGTCATCATTTACCCTCTTGTTGTTTTAAACCCAAAAGTCAAGTTTGTACATCATGTCTTGAAAAAGTTTGTTTATCCAATGCTCTGATGCAAATGTTTGTTTATTTTTTATTTATCAAAACAGAAATCAAATATAAGTAATAACCTGTTAACCAAAATCATCAAATTTTAAGATTGACATTGATCACTAAACTTTAAAGCTAAAGTAAACTAAAGCTTTGCATGTTTGCTTGACATGTGCGAACCAATAAGGTTCATTCTTGTGTGCTATACCAGCACTTTTGAGCAAGTAGTTGTGTTTCTGCTTATGTCCACTGTTCAATATTTGTATGTGAATTTAAACCTAAATGAACTCTGTTCATCATACAAAGTGATTGTTTCTTTTAGCAGACTCAGATTAAATAGTGTGATTTTTTTTTTTTTTTTTTATAGGCCTGTTTTTGGATCTCTTTACAAACTTTTTGAAGCATTTGAGTTTTAGTATGAATGACAGGACAGAATTTTATCAGTAGTCTTCACCTGATGAACAGAAATCTTGGATGTAGGTGTATGGATTGACATCTTGGATTAAGAGTATGGATTAACATTAATCTTTAAAAATGCTAATGATTTAATAACACAAATAAGATCTAATTTTTCAAAATGATTTATTAAGTTTTTTATGTTGTAATTTGTTATTATAAAAAAGAAATGTTTATTATTTAATAATCATATATAAATTTTTTAAGTTTCCTCAATTCTATGTTTTATAGGGGTGTCATCGATCGAAATTTATGCTCAATTGTGATTATCGAATCAAAAAACAGAATTGTCGATGCTGCCACGCCCCCATGTCACGTCAGCTTGGCTTGCCAAGCGGGAAAAAAACAGGCTTGTTGAAGTGCTTGTTAAACTGCAGAAGCAGGAGACCCATCGACAGAACTTAAAACCTCTCCTCTTTCAATGAAGTCGCCGGTGTGTAAGCATTTTGGATTTCCAGTGAGTTATGTTGACAACGTTCGTGTTGTCGACAAAAAACACAATTTTGCCAGCTCTGCTATGTACGTATTACGTACGGTTCGTCCGATAGACAACACCGGCATCGCAATCCTCTGCCCGCCCCCGTTGCAAATCCGCTCGCGAAAAGTACACACTCAGGCCCTGTTTACACTGTCTTTGTTTTTAAATGGCATTTTAGAACGACAACGATTTGACATCCACAGTGGCGTGTGGCAATTCTGAGCAGCCCTCCTTCCTCTCTACCTCTGTAAATGCACATCACGTGACCACACAGACGCATACACAGCCATGCGCTCGAGACAGCAGGTCCAGGCAGTCAGAGGACTGCTTCAATCTTTCACTCACTTGTACTTAGTCATTTTAGCGAACACCTCAAAGACTGTTGGCTGGTTCCTGTTGGTTGTGCCTCTTTTTTACCGACGCCATTATAACAACACAGATCACTGCCTATTCACGAGTCCAGCAGAAAAAGTGATTGACAGGTGGTAATTATGTGTGTAACCTGCCTTTATTCATTTACTGTATAATTTGTTTATCGGTAAAACAAAGACCATGCAGGTCAGGTAGTTTAAACGGTAGAATACAAGTAATTAATTGGTCATTAATTAATTAATTATTCATAATCGAATCGAATCGTGCCTTCAGAATCGAAAATGTTATCGAATCGAGGATTTGTAAGATCGTGACACCCTTAATGTTTTAAAGTTTTATTCACATTAATCAACTAATCAAAGTTCTCTGTTGTATAATGCTCTAAAATCTTAATATAGCAGACATAAAGAATAGTTTAGCACCTTTGTCTGCTTTTTACAAACATTCAAGTCATGATTTGTGGGCTGCAAATTTAAACTACTGCTGTTATAGTGAAAATTTTAGCTATATTGATTGATTCAGCATCAGGCTTGACTATCACAACTATCATCTAGATTTCCATTTTGGCCAATAACAGACGCGCATCGTCTCCCCCCTTCTTGTGTTCTTCTGTCTAACCACTTTCCTGGGTTCATAACCGCATGGCAGCAGTGAGAGGAAGCCCCTCTTCTCTCCCGCTCATTCATCTTTTGTGCGCCGGGATTATTTATAGTGAATGACAAAACAGGATCTCCCTAATCTGAGCTCACAGGCATCAACAGCTCAAACTGCCTTGCTATACTTCATCCTTGCAGACACAAAGCTTCCTTCCTTTCTAATGTACACGGATGCAGATGACAGCAACTGAAAATATCTAAAGTCACTCCATTGGTTTGACTTGGCAAAGAGTCTTGTAACGATACTGTATAGTAGAGCTGGGCAAAAACAATAATGATAATTCTAACGTTTTTTTCTCTTGATAATATAGTTTAGATAAAATTCAATTCAATGGTTGTGCATTAAACTAAATGTCAAACATGCCAAAAGTGGAATTAAACAAAATTTTATTGAATCTTAAAGAAATATTCAGTTTTTTTCACTCACTGATTATTCAATATAATAACATTCCTTTATAAATCTAATACATTTACAGATGTTTTGTTATTGACCTAGTGCTTTTGTGATTTGTATTGTACAAAATACTTTAAATTAGGCTGTTGTTTTTTTTTTTATATTAAAAACTATCTTTTTACCATGTCAGTGAGGTTGTGTTTGAGCTGACCTACTGTATGGCAAACCTGATCTAAATACTTTGGTTTTGATATGAAAATTTTCATTTTAATCAATTTAAACACTCATAGGGTTTCAATTTATATGTAAAAAATATAAACAAATCATGGCTGGCAAAATCTGGTAGCCCAAAGTCCAGGGGCTATTGTTTTTTCAGTTAGGCTACCACAATTTATCAACAGCATGCCTGGCAGGCAATCTAGGTACCCCGCTGGGCATGATGTAAATACATTTTGGTATAATGACTGTAGCCTCGGGACTTCGGGCTACCAGATTTTGCCAGCCCTGTAAATGTCACAGCTTTTACTTTTTCCTCCTAATTATGATCTTGGCAACATTTCTCTTCCAAATGCGATGAACTTTGCAATTAGAATTTGTGTATAACACATTCAAAATGGGAGTTTGATTGGGAACACTTGGTGGTGGAGATACAGTTGTTGAAGTCATCAATTTGGGGGTTTAATCAGAAGGAAAAAGCAGGAAGTGTATGAATGTAAAATTTGGTTCAAGGATTTGCTTTTTGTTGATTTACAACATGTTTACATCCTGAAAAAAATTGATTTTTTTCTTTTTGAGTTCAGTGTCTGTTTTGGAGTTGGAACTCACCAGAACTCATAAATTTTGGCAAATGTCACAGCTTTTTGTAATGGGAATTGGTATTTCTGAGTTGTCAGATTAATTATGCCATAAACCTTCCTTTAAAAAAATACACACCTATTTTAAATGACTGGAAAACGTTGGACAAACCTGACAATAGGTTCATTTTTTATATTAAATTTAAATTACATAATGGTTTGGTTGTTCCATATTTGACCCAATGTTGGATTACAACAACCCATCATGTTTACAGTGTATCAATAAGAGAATTGAATAAGGAATATGCATTATGCTTATATGCCCTTACATTGGCATATTAGCATCAAGATATGAATGCAGTCGATGTGTTTTTCTTGCAAAATAATCAATTTTTGGCCTAGTGGTGCATTTATAGTATCAGAAGGTAATACAGTGGTACTTTGGTTTGTACAAATCTAGCAAGTAATTAAATGAATTAATATGAAAAAAATACTATGACAGTATTATGATCCTAATGTAGTGGTATTTTTAGGGTACTAAAATCAAAAGACTAAAAATAACTTTGGCACCCAACCATGTACCATGAAATTACTTGTGTCATCATGGTATTCTTGGAAGCACATGGGAGCACCGTATAAATATCAGTGAAAGTGTATTACAGTGTTTACCCACTGATAAATCTGCAACAATGTAAACCCTACATGCTGAGTTTAGTTTTTCAATGTTTCAGTGGGTAAACATTGACAAACATTACAGCATGTTCTTCATAAAAGCTATTGACCAATACAAATCAGTGATCGGTTGTCAATGACATTATTCCGAATGACATTATTACTCCGATAAGTTCTGAATTGAACTGTTAAATCAATATTCTTTTTGATGTATTGTTTTTCCCCCTATTGTAATCTAATAAGTAAAACAGACTTACATCTGAAGATCCGGATTCTTTGCTTGTTTCCTGTTTGCCATCAAAGTTAATCACTTTTACTGTTTCATTGATAGAGGTTTCTGATTGGTCAGATATAACCCCACGGCCACCTTTGCTGTCATCAGTGATGTTGTTTTTTCGTTCTGGGGTGGGGTTCACTGTGGTTGGGTTTATGTTTCCTTGTTGAGGCATTAGACTGCTGTTAGTAGTCTTTTCAATTATTTCTTGGTTTGTGACAGCTGTACCGGATAATGTATAATTTGACTGTGTTTCTAATCCTGAAGTTGCTGGCTGTTCTGTTCCCTGTACATCTGCTATCATTGCTGCTGCTGTTGTTGGATTTGTTTCTGCTCCAACTGATTGTGAAGTAGTTGATGCACCTGCTTCATCTTGTCCTTGACAACCTATGGAAACAGAAATTGTTTAAAATATCAAATAAGATAGGCCTTACATGTAGGTTGCACTCCCACCTCACCCTGGTTAATGTAGCCTCATATAACCAACACAGACTCATGGAGAAAATGGGATACATTTCTGAGAAGTGAGAAATATGTGCCTCAGGGTAGATAATGCTGCATTTTGTTTGAAAAACGAATGCTACAGGAAGGTACTGCTCACTGATTACATTCTGGTTTGCTTTGTAGCTCACCCTGAATGGTGCCAGGCTTCAGAGGTAGAGCGGTGTGGTGCAGACCAGGATTCAAGTCCGGTAATGTACAGTCCCAAAAAGCAGGTAAAACAAAACCCAAAAAAGTGCAGTGTGATAGTATGGTAAAATCACATGGCTGCTATGGCTTTTGTCTTCTAGTTTGCTTTTGAAAACACTATCAGTTGGGTTTAGGGAATGGGGTGTGTGGGGTCAGTTGTAGGGGTGTCAAAATTAATTGTTTTTTTGGTGCACCGCGATGCAGACGCGGACAATTCGGTATCGGTTCAGTCGCGAGGGAGGTGAGCGCGAGTATTTACAACACTCAGCCAACTCAGGGCCGGTCCGTGGCATAGGCACCATGGGCAAATGCTAAGGGCGCTGAATATCCAGGAGGGCGCCAGAGATGAGCGCGGTTCAGTTGGTTTTGTTTTCGATATTCTTGACACAGACATTACAGACGGCAATAACTCAAAAACCTCTTACCCTAAAAAGTGTGTTTCCTACAAAAAAACAAAGCTGGTTATGTTTCACAGCTGTCTTTCTTTTTTTTCGCTCCACACTACGAGCACTGCTCCGTTTAAGCCCTCGCAATATGTGTTTAGCCGGGATAGCTCGCGCTGAGGGGAGCTCTCAGCAAGGGACCGTCGGAAAAGTGCTTATTTTTTTCGTTTTTTTTTTTTCGTTTTTCTGCTCCGCTCTTTGCGAGCTCTCCCTGTTGCGAGGGCTTAAGTGTGTGTGTGTGTGCGTGTTTGTTTCTTTGGTGCTGTCTATGTTTGTGTTTAAATGAGAGACAGTGTGGTGCTGTGTGTCTGTGTGTTTATACAGACAGCTTGTTATAGCCTCTCCTCTAAAATATAACACTGTGTATGGAAAGCATCGTCAATGCACCGTGATGCACCGAAATATCGAATTGAACCGAATCGAAGGCATGATAATCGTAACCGAACCGAACCGTGAGACCAGTATAGGTTCACACCTCTAGTCAGTTGATACAAGCTGATGTATTATGCACAACGACAAACCGACCGACTTCTCTCACGGACGTGCGTCAGATGGACATTAAGATGGCCAGAAAAGTACACAGCGGCCTCTGGTGGATTTACTAGAAATGGCACGTATAAGAAAACATGCCCCCAGTAATGTATTGTCATTGTTAAAAATGTATAAGGTGGATTTGTAAAAACAAAAACAAACATGAACAACAAGCACTATGGAACTTTTGCAGTTGCTAATAATAGCATATTACTCAATCTGTCTTAATAATTTATCCTTTTTATTTTAAATGTGGTAGCTCTACCAAACACGTAATTATAGTAAAATCTCCTTGCAAATGCGTAATTTCTTTTTGAAAAAGAAAATTGAAGTGTGACATCAACATTTAATAAGTTAACATTTTTAAGTAAAAATTTAAGAATTTTTCTTTTTCATTTTTTCGACATTAAATTCTCTAATTCCAATACTAGTCTCATAATAGTCATTTGTTTCAGGAATCAGGACTTGACTTGCGTGTTTTTCATTCAATCAAAATAATCAACTTCTATAGGGTCATTTGATTAAAACTGTGATTAAACTGTATTAAACAAATTTAGTCTGACAATTGGTTTGCTTGTATGTCTTGATTCAACACAACAGATTTGTTCTTTAGAGTCATTTGTAAATGAATCTGATTTCTCTGGTTAAGGGGCACTAGTTTGTTTTTTTGTGGTAAAGGATATGTTTTATTCAGATTGTATTCAGTTTTTGCTGCATGGTATTCAATGTAGGCTGTAAATTCACATTCAAAGTTCTGGTAAAATTCAATTCTGTATTTATTCTAATGATACAATCAGGCATTAATTTAATACTATGAAAACATCAATTAAAATAACAATTCAAAACAGTTTATAGGACTCTATGCTGTATATCCAGCCTGATGTCATGAGGAAATGTAACTATTTTACATAGTGTCAGTAAAGTCTCTACTTCATATCAATTCATACAATTCCATTGATACAAAAATGTCATTGTTTAAAAGGAGGAATTTAGCCATACCCCACCCTAAACCCCAACCCTCATTTGTGGATGAGCACATCATACTAAAATATGCAAATGAGATTGTACCAATTCATAAAATTTTTACTCAAATCAGAAAGTTACACATTGCATGAGATTGCATTGGTATATTACACAGTCACTAAGGAGTTGCCCAGAGTGGCAAATCCTCCACATCCATAGTGTTTGCTAGCATGTGGGTGGTAGGTGCTCCCCGAGGTTGAGGAGAGGTTAAAAAAATTCTGACCGTTATTTAATGCCCTTCCGTCTCCACCCTCTACAAAAATCTGCCTTGTTTGCACAGGCACTCTGCATTATTAATATCTTAAGCAAGAGGGTAATGCTCCTGACACTGACTGAGCAAATAAACATCACCCTCCAAAAGTCAAGACCTTTGGCTTTGCTCTACGTTACCACACTCCCAAGGAAAGCGTTTTGTCTTTAGATGTGGAATGCAGGAAGTGTGTGGCTGGGCGTATGGTTTAAGCTAATTTTTTTGCTGGTTTGTTTTTAGGTGTTGCATCCTTAACTATATCCAAAAGTCATTGAACTTGGCTTCTTAAAAATCTAATTATAATTAATATGACATTTTACACTTTTGATTGACACGTTTGATCTAGATTATCTAAGCTTTGTGGACACTACAATTAAAGGAATATTTCAGATGCAAGACCAAAAAAGTTACATTTTGTGACTTCATTAACATCTGAAATAATACTGTGTGCTGGGCTGATCTTGCTCATTGTACAGTATGTGCAGACATTTTACGATGTTTCATCAACTTACGTGAACGTGTGAGAAGTTTATAAAAATTGTAAAGCAGTCAGAAATGGTTTCAGGAATTCCTTGGTCGCACACACACAAACGCAGATCTGCAGGCCACTGTAATAGCCAATATAACTATAATTGTAAAAAAAACATTTTGTTCTTGCTAGGGTCACATCTTGATCATTTAAATGTTTTTGTTATGTTTATTTGGAAACAGTTTGGATTGAGACCCTTTTTTTCAGTGGTCTTGGATATTTTCAACTCTAAAGGTTCAGATTTAAAGGGTTAGTTGACCCAAAAATGAAATTTCCGAATCAAATGAATCATTTACTCATCCTTATGTGGTTTCAATCCTTTAGTAGTTATTTCTGTTGAACATATTTTTAAAAAAAGCTGAAAACATTTTACCATTGACTTTGATAGTATGAAATACTAATTTAACTATGGAGATCAATGTTTTTTTTTCTTCTAGATTTCTTATTTTTTTCGGTATTTTTCCTAAATCAAACTGGTTTGAAACAAGTAAAGGATAAATAAATGAAAATAGATTTTAATTTTTAAGGTATATATCCCTTTAAAATTACTTGTATTGAGGAGTCAAGGAAAAGTGCAAATACTTTTTTGTTGCAGTTAACATTCTAAATATACTTTAGTTTGATTGAACCCATTTTTATATGCGATTAAGTGACTTTTTGTCATTGTGGATTTGAGCAGCTGAGATCTAAATCTAGATCAATTTCTGGTGTCATTTTGGAGATCATTTATCTTGCCGTCAAATGTTGGCTTCAGAATGCCAACTGGAGCTCATGCTGGGTGGTCTTGTGCTTTTCTAACAAGCAACATAAGAAATCTGCCACCCCCTCACGATCAACTAATTCTACATTTGTCTCAACAGGTGGGACTGTAATAAAGATGCTACATTGTGAAACAGCAATCCTAAAACAATAAACCTTCATGGATTTTTGCAGTTAAGATACCAAAAGAAATGACTAATAAGGATGTTATCTTTTAGTTAGTTTAATCAATCCAGTCACATAATGCTTAATTTATGCTCATCTTTATTTAAACACAAGTAGTACTAAGAGGCATATTTGAATACAAGTTATTTGAACACAAGACTACAAATACTTTATCCAAAAATTAAAATTCATGAAATACAATAGTTATATGTTTTCAGCTTACTTTTTTGTGTTCCAATGAAGAAATGTACCACTTGAGGATGAGTAAATAGAGAAAAAATAATCATTTGGGCTAAACTATCCCCTTAATACTAGGTCAAAATGGTAATTCATCTCGACTGACCATTTGTGATCAGATAAAAGTAGGGGTATAACAGATCACGGTTGATTTGCAAGTGACCCGCAGATTAATTACCTTTTTAGGAACTTGTAGGTTTATCCAGCATTTATAACCATTGAAGAGATATTGCCCACCACGTCATTCAAATTACATGTATGAAAGTATTTTTGCTTCACTGTAAAATATTTTGATGATGGAAAAGTTGTGGTGGGACCTAAATGCTTTCTTAGATTATTAATTAAAGCTGTTTTCTGTCACTGTTTGTTTAGCCTGCATTAATGCATTCAGTTTAAGCTGTACTATTAATTATTAAAGGATTGTAATCTCAATCAAAAAAGATAAATGATAATGATTTGCATATGTTTATTAATCTTTCGAAGCGCTGCATTCAAATCTGCGTCTGATCGAGAGAGATTCAGTTTTTACACATTTTCAGTTACTTACGATCAAATAAATAACACAAAAGTTCTGGGAGAACTGTTTATAGTTCAGATATAAACACTGGTGTTTATGATAAAGATTAAAATCTCAGTTTTATGGATCTTGACGCTGGTGAATGTTGTAGCAATTACATTGTGTGACCAATGGGTGGCGATAAACAACCATCAAATTGATTTCACTGAATAGGTTTTAAAAAATGATACATGAATGATATTC